TTTTGTAAAAACAAAAAAGCGGCTAGAACTAGACATGTATTTTTTACACAAATTGATCGGGTTTACTGGAAATCCTTCTTCAACTATAGTGAAACTTCTCAATTTCCTGGTTTTAGTGTCTTGCAAAACTACGTAAAAATATTTCCCTTTGACTTGAATATTTTCTATTTTCAAATTGACCAATTCATCGCATCTACAAGCACCGCTAATCCCCATTATTAATGCAACTTTCATCAACAGGTACTTCTTTGGTTTGTATCCCTGTAATTTGCTTTTCAAAAAGCTCGTTTGCCGTATTTTGAAATGTCGATTTTTTTATAAAGGTGAATAGTCGAGCGAAGCATCGAGTATTTGGTCCATAGCGACGATGGGGCTAATTTTTTTGCAAATGTAAAAAATAAGCCAATACAACATTTTCATTGATATCTTCCGTGAATTCATCATTTTGAACTCCTTATCGTAAGTACCTACTTCGGGACTTTTCTGGCAAAATCTGCATCGCTGCTTCTTCCGCTTCCTTAAGGATATCCTATAAAAGTAATTTTTTCTATACATTTTTTTAGTTAAAAAAGCTTCTCTTTTCTGTAGGGAAAACTAAAAAGTGTCAAAATTTATTTAAACATTTGCTAACAATGTATCATGCCCGTGGCAACCAAACAAACAACCTACATTGACCAAAATGTAAAAAAGTCACTGTCAAATCATTCTGACATTTATAGGGAACTGAGGCGCAAGTATCTTTGATTTGATCACAAAGCTTATTAATTATTATCTAATAAAAAACGATTTCTTCCACTTGTTGGATAAAACATTGTATGCCACTCGTGTGTCACTTGAGAATTTATACCACGAGGCCGTCAGGCAAAATTTAATAATTTTAGAGACATTTAACAATTTTTTAATATCTAGAATCAAAAAATTCCACCCCCATATTGGCAAACATAATAACGAGTTATAGGTTATTTTTGATTGACCATTTGTCAAATTTTACCGAACAAAATTAATAACTCGAAAACTATTCGCTTTAGTTATAGAACATGCATGGTTAAGTCATTTTACTTAGCTTTTAAAAATGTTAAAATATATGAGGTGTTTTATTTGAAATAACAAAGTTGATGTTACTTCCGGTCAAACCGTGAATAAGTGTTATTTTGTTCAAGATATTTAAGAAAAATAGACTTAATTGGATTATAATCGGTTTAAAAACGTTTTAGTAGAGGATCCCAAGTAAGGTCGACCTTCACCCATCTGCTTACCAGATGAAAATTATATTTTATCAAATAAAATATGTTTCTGAACATAAACCAATAGGGTTGCCATAAAAAATATGATCAAGGCTAGCTATAATAAATAAAAAATTTAAAAAAAAATTAAATTTCACCGACTTGCTTGCCAAATGAACGAAATTCCAATGGAAAGCATACAACATACAGAATATGTAACAGCTAGGTTGCCTACCTTTTTCTGGTCCCTATTACCTGGTTGCTTTGTACAGGGTGATCCCCTATAATGTCGCCCCCCTTTAACTTTTTTATTTTAAGTGTCCCAAAAAATTTAAAAGTGTGGTTATGTAGGAACTAAAAAATACTTTTTTTCTACGTATAAAGAAAATTGGAAAATTGATCAGTATACAGGGAAAACAAAAAGTTTATTTTTTTCAATGGATCACCCTATATATGAATTTATTTTTCGATTCCTTGTAAAATTCTGAGCATAATTTATATAACAAACCATATACCTAAATTCAACCGTTTCTGAAATATTCGCATTCGAAATGTCATCATTAAATGTTTTTTTAAACTGTTAGAAATCAAGAAGCCTCAGTATACCAAAATTTTTATTGAAAATAAATTACTATAGTGACATTATGTCAATAAGTGTTGTTAAATAAGTAAAAATGGCGTACTCAGACAGAGAAAAACAAACTATTTCAACTTATTATCTTAAAAATAATTTAAATATTTCAGAAAAGGTTGAATTTAGGTATATCATATACCGTATATGGTATGATATATGGTATGATATATGAAATATGCTTAGAATTTTACAAGGAATCGAAAAATAAATTCATATATAGGGTGATCCATTGAAAAAAATAAACTTTTTGTTTTCCCTGTATACTGATCAATTTTCCAATTTTCTTTATACGTAGAAAAAAAGTATTTTTTAGTTCCTACATAACCACACTTTTAAATTTTTTGGGACACTTAAAATAAAAAAGTTAAAGGGGGGCGACATTATAGGGGATCACCCTGTACAAAGCAACCAGGTAATAGGGACCAGAAAAAGGTAGGCAACCTAGCTGTTACATATTCTGTATGTTGTATGCTTTCCATTGGAATTTCGTTCATTTGGCAAGCAAGTCGGTGAAATTTAATTTTTTTTTTAAATTTTTTATTTATTATAGCTAGCCTTGATCATATTTTTTATGGCAACCCTATTGGTTTATGTTCATAAACATATTTTATTTGATAAAATATAATTTTTATCTGGTAAGCAGATGGGTGAAGGTCGGACCTTACTTGGGATCTTAGACTATTTAATGTGTACTTTAGGAATATTCTAAAAAAACATTTTTTGCCACAGCTAAATAAAAAAAAATATTATTACAAAAGTAGGAACATGATACTTTTATTTAAAATCGTTAAAATGCCCTTTATATTTTTAACTGTCATCATAAAATAAATTTTAATTAATTTATATGTGAAAAATAGAATCGCATCTATGTGAATCACATTTAGTTATAAAAATTAATATTTATTTAACTTATTGCACAGCGAGCCGGAGAGAACACTACTCGAATAAACCAAACATCATACATTTTATCTAACCTGATAAGTAGAGACCGGATTCTAGGCAAAATGCACACAATTTCTTGCTTAAAATGTATTTTGGACATTTTTAATGCAATTTAACATAATTTTGCCACTTTTTTTACTTTAAAAAAATGTCCCCAAAATAAATAAACACAGATATTTGAACACCAGATCTTTGCCTACATTTAAAGCTTTTTTTGTGAGCGGAGCTATAACTCCGTACCAAATATGTTACGATAGGTTAGCCCATTATGTACTATCGTGACTATATGATCATATGTAGGGATGAGATTTTAGTTATTTTACCTTTTTTTAACCGATGTAACTATTTGATAACCAATAATGCCAAAATGTGTTTTAATAGTATATTCTGTAACAAGTTTGGAATACAGCATATTCCGCTCGAGTGAAAAGTTTGTCACACGAGCCGAAGGCGAGTGTGACGGTTTCACGAGGGCGGAATATGCAATTCCAAACGTGTTTCAGACTATACTTTTTCTACGCTTATAAAAAATACCAGAGAAATAATTTAATTGGAAAAAAGTTAGGTTATCTTTTGACAGATGTTAGATTTTATGATGGTAGTAAATAAGATAATTTTTAAATAAGCTTATAAAAATTACTTACATAATTTTGCAGAACCTAAATTAGGAAGTATAAAGAAGAAATCGACAAATTGTAAGGAATGACAAATAAGTTATTATTTGAATTTCAAATTTTGAATTAACTAATGACAGACGTAAACAATTAACTAGTGCTGCCATCTCTTTGGGACTAAGGCAAACCTAAATATTCTAATAGAATCCTACTAAATCGGCCAAACAGAATTACAAATAGCTTGTAAAGAAGATATATTTTGGGTATTTTTGTTAACGCAAACTGTTTTAAATCCTATTGTATACTACCGATTAATATTTTCTACCGGGCCTTTCTGAAAAAACTAGATTTGGTAGGAATACAAGTGAGTTATAAAATAAACATAGAGATGTCGCCCCCAGTGCTCATTCCATCATTAGAAAATGTGCGGAATAATTATTCTGTAACACTTTATGGAATATACGTAATTCCAGATTAAAAAGTCATATAAGAACTGTCAAATTCCGTAATAAGCGTAGAAAAAAGATTTTCTTTTATATGAACCTAACTTGTTTTCACCTTTTTTACCTTTTTTGGAGGTTTTTGCTTTTAACTACCTTTTTTATACTTTTGTTACCTATTTTTTTAACTTTTTTTCACCTTTTTTAGCTTTTTTGGAGGTTTTTGCTTTAAACTACCTTTTTATAGTTTTGTTACATATTTTATAATTTGTCAGTTTATTTTCATATATTTGTTACCTATTTTTACGTATTTTTACTTATTTTATTTTTTTGTTCTTTTTAAAAATTGCGCCAATATTTTATCCAGGGCGTGCAACTCAACGGTATAGAATATTTTCTTATGGTTACAGACTGTAACAGTAACTTTCTTTACAGTTACCTTCTTTGTAGTGACTCACTACTAGTGAGTTCTGTCATAGAACTAGTGAGTGTCACTGGTTATAGCCAATTAAAATTCATTGTTTTGCAAGGGTAAACATCTAATTTTTTTAAATTAAAAATTCCATTATTTACTTGCGTCATATGGCTAATAAATCATCAAAAATGCATTTATATTTGTTAAATTAGTTTTTTAATATATAATTAATTATGTGGCTCCCGTCCCGAGGCGGGACTTAAGTTCGATCCCGACTGACGTCACACACTGTAAATCCGTTTTTATTCCCAGAGCGTTATAAAATTAATGTTAAGCTGGATGGCTCAGATGGCATGCGCGAGGTACCGGGTTCGATACTACTAGAAGTTGTCGAACTTTTTTTATTTTTTTATTTTATAAATTTATTGTTCCTTTCTTAAAAAGTGTTGGGTTGGATTGGTTGGTTTGGTTGGGTTGTCTTAGTTTTATCGTAACATAACAAATCTTAAAATTATCCCAGCGTTTTTATTAACTTAATTAAATTATATAAATAATTATTATAGGCTAAAAATATTTATTTATTTATTCTTTTAATACTGCCTTTATGCGATTTTTTTTGTCTGTTTGCCCATTTCGCCTTTTTAGGAGCATTTTTTCAAGTACATGAAAGTCCGGTCTCTACTGATAAGATAAAATTAATTTTACTATTTTAATAAAGAACTTTAGTTACGTTTTTGCAATACATTTTGCTCTGCTTAATTAATTTCTTGTATTTTTTTTTGCTAAAAATGAGTGTTTTTATTATACCAGAGAAAGAATTACAGAATCTAATATGTGGTGAATGTGGAAATTACTTATCAGTGCTACCAGTGCGCGAGGATGAAAACAAAAAATATTGCGGAAGATGCAATAAAGTTGGTAAAACATCTAATTTTCAGAATAAATATAAAAATGGATTGTTTAGATGCATAAATCGATATGATGGTTGCAATAAATTGCTCACCTTTGAGCAAACAGTACAACATGAAGAAATTTGCAAATTTGCAAGTAAAAGTTGTCCAATATGTCCACGTTTCTCGTGCAACACTTTATCACTCATTTTACATTTCTGTGAATTTCATCCCAATAATATTTTATACAGCCTTAAAATAGAGTTTAGTAGAATGGAGGACCAAAAGGAAACTTATTTATATTGCTCGATAAATGAGCTTTGTTTCATACATGTAACGTATGAAAAGAGTTTAAATGAAATGTGTTTTAGTACAGAGATTTTGTCTTTAAAGCAAAACGTATTCAATCATCAAATTTGTATTGATAAAATTAACGCAAAAAAAGTATTTTATAAAAGTAAATGGACAAATAAACCACTCAAAGTTAACCTTTTTAATATTACTAAGGTACAACCCAGGACTATAAGTTTTAAAATTGTTATGCACTTTTACAATACAGAACCCGTACTTGCATTTGATATCAAACAGCCATCAACAAAGGCTCAAAAAAGTTTAAAAGTTGCATACACGGACAAAACAACTCAAACAGACAATACAAGGGAGATACCAAAAGTACTAAAAAATAAACATATTCAGACAGATACAATTATTGAAGTTAACACTACAAAAACAATGGGTTTGGCAAAATCGCAACAAAATAAGGAAATTCAAACAAAAACAATTAATGGAGTCGACTTAACAAAAGATTTTAAAATAAATTATCCCAATTATATTTTATCAATTTGCGGAACTGCATTAATTTCGTCAAATAATACAAGAATAGAACTTACATGCTGTAACTGCAATCAATTTACAGGTATGCTTATAGTTTTTTTCTGTGCTATATACAGGGTGTTTCATAATATATGCGCAGGACTTCAAGATGTGATAGCTCATCCAAAAAGATGAAAAAAGTCGCCATTAACTTACCCTCTAAAATGCAAATGCTTACAAAAGCTGTTTTTTGTACGATAAACGGTCCGGAGATATTCGAAAAAAACGATTTTTTTTCTAAAATTTCAACACCCTGTATCTCGAAAATTATGAATTTTAGAGGGTAAGTTAATAGCGACTTTTTCATCTTTTTGGATGAGCTATTACATCCTGAAGTCCTGCACATATATTATGAAACACCCTGTATTATTTTATTGCGCCTTTTTGGCATGTTTTTGTTATCAAAACAGGTTTTAAAAACTTTTTTGCAAATTTTTGTAACACAATTGTTATTGGAATAAACAAAACAATTTACCTTAAAGTTCTGTTTATACTTTCCAGACTTCTAATAAATAATTATGTGCCTATAAGCACAGTATTGAAGTAAAACTTCTAGTGTTGTGTTGTTATTATATTAATCTCTCTTAACCATAATGAATTAGTCAAAAATAACTAATTATAAGTCATATTTGACTAATTGTCATAGCGAAAAAGCAGTCACTAATATCACTGTAGGTATACCTACAGTGTTATTAGTGACTGCTTTTTTATAAATTTTTAACTTTTGAAATATCACAGCTAAACGCTCGGACACGTAATAGTATATTCACGAGAGGGGAATATGCAATTCCAAACGTGTTTCAGACTTTTTCTACGTTTCAAAAAAATACCATAGAAAAATAATTTAATTGAAAGAAAGTGAGGTTGGATCGGTCTAAAATTTGTTAGATATTAAAAACAGAGATTTCGCCACAAGTGTTTATTCTGTCATCCGATGATAGAATATTTCATTCTGTAACACTTTACGGAATATATGTCATTCCATAAAAGTGATAATAGAACGGTCATCAGGTTTGCTTTTGTAGAAACTAAAGCAATATTTCGAATTTTCAAAATTTTTAAATTTCTTTTTAAAATTCAAGAATTGTGATAAACAATAGTATATAAATGAAAAATAACAAAAATGTTAAAAAATGAATCTTTTTAGTAATTATCTTATGTTTGTATAGGCCTTCTCATATTAAACTCCAAATGTAATCTCCCATCATATTCTCGTTGGTAACGCGTTTAAAGTCTTTCACGTGTTGATGAAAACCTTCTTGTACCCACTCAGAGGAGCACTCTGAATAGGTACCCATATTGTCTTTAAATTGATCCAGGTGAGAATGTATGGGTCATTCTGCAACCCATAATTTTAAAGCTTTTAAACATGGTTTCAATGAACTCTTTATAATTTTTAGCTCTGTTGATACCAAGAAAACCATTAACTACAGCTTTAAGACTCTCCAAGGCTTATTTTTCATAAGCATTGAGGAATTCTGTGAAATCATCACTGCTCATTATTAAATAATGAGCAAATTTTGTTTTATTTGTGGTCCGACGAAAATACCCGCTTTTACTTTAGCTTCGGATAATTTGGGAAAAGCTTCAGAATTTGGATCGAGGGCTTTCACAAATTGCTTCTTTAGGCACTTTTTTATGTAAATGATTCCGACTTGACATTATGTTTTCCTACCTGAAATTCAACTCGATCATGCCATATACGAGGTGTGTTCAGAGGGTCCGGTTGTCATAAAATTTTCTTTATTATGTTGGTATACATGCCCCCAAAGTATGATAAAAACTTTAGCTGTTTTCATTGTTTACTTTGTCTGTGGCAGCCGCTAATGTTAGACGTGTTTTATGAGCTCGGCGATTTTTCGTTCGTTAAAACAAATGGATCAAAGAAATTGTATCCAATTTTGCTTAAAAAATGAAATAAATTCTATGAAATGTTAACAAAGGCCTATAGTGAGTCTGCTATAAGTAAAACAAGAGTTTTACATTAACAACCGATAAAAACATGGAAAAAGTGGAAGAAATGGTTATAAACCATCAGAGAAGTCGCTGATGATGTTGGTATATCGAATGGCATCCCATGAAATTTTTTCGAATGTTTTAGGTATGAAACGCGTGGCAGCAAAATTTGTTCTGAAATTGTTAAATTTTGAACAAAATTTTTGGACAAAAACAATACTGTAATGATGCCCCAGCCTCCATATTCGCCAGACATGCCTCTGTCTGACTTTTTCCTATTCCCAAAAATAAAGAGAACCTTAAAGGGCCGTCGTTTTGCAAGCATAGATGACATCGCTGAAAAAACTAAAGGCTATACCAAAGATCGAGTTTTAGAAGTGTTTCGAGTATTGTAAGAAGAGCTGGCACATGTGCATATTATCCAATGGGGACTATTTTGAAGGCGACAACATTAATGTAGACGAATAAATAAATACTTGTTTCAGAAAACAAAAATTCCCGATATATTCTGAACACACCTCGTACTCGTTTGGTAATGTAACATTACTAATGTTATGTCATGGGTTTTTATCTTGATTCTACAAAGCTTCAAATTTCTTGTCAAAGCAAATTACTTTAATAAATTCACCGCAAATAAAACAGAAGAAATAAACATCCTGTTTACACTGTCTTGTTGCCATTATCTAACTTAATACACAAGGGCGGTTATTACAGCTGTGAAAGACAAGTAAACACTTACTACTGTCCCTTCATAAATATTATTGCTATTGGCTTAATCTCATAAAATCAATTTAAATCGAGGTATAAGACAAAAGCAAACTTTAAAAGCTAAAATTGTAAATTTAAGTGATTTTTAATGTCTAGAATCAGAATTCAAGTATTGGAAGAGAAACCAAAAAAAAAAAAATTTTTGTCGACTTGTGTAACCAATCAATCAGTTTGATTTCCGTAATCTTTACCTCCTTAAGAAATTGTACTTTAAAAATATATAAAAAAAGCACCTAGTATTTACAAACATTTTTATTCTAGGTACAAACGTGTTTTCCTGCATGAAAAAGCTACACATTACATGTTGGGACTGCAGGGCCTGGTGTGTTAATTGCAACGACAGGATGGCTGGTTACAATGCCGAAATGTCAACTTTAAATGAAGTTATCGCGTTTCCTTGCAGATGGAATTGCGGCCAAAATATTCTGGGCGATCTTCTAAGAACCCACGAAAAAAATTGCATCCAACAACCGAAAATCATATGCCCTCTTTGTGGTGTATTGTATAATGTACAGGGTGGTCCACGTAAGGTGACCCATATACTTATCTCAGAAACTACTGGAGTCACAAAAAATTTGTAAGAAACAAATATTCACGAAGTAAAAAATATTTTTAAAATATTATATTTTCATTTATACAGGGTGTTCGGTTTTCCTTGGGACGATACCAACTTTCTTATTTTCAATGGAACACCCTATATTTTTTTGCATTTTTGGATTCTACCCACTCTTCTAGGTATACTTTGTAAATATATTAATTAAGAAAATGTTAATACTTTTTGAGTAAAATTAAGATTTATTAAAATTTCTCTAAATGTAGACACTCGCTAAAAGTTAAAAATAATCAACTAAAAGTTATTATTTTTTATATTATGTAGTATCCATCTCTTTAATAATAAGTATGCTATAAGTTAATTATTATATTTTTTGGAAAATATCATACAGGGTGTTTTCTATGTCCCGTTGAAAATAGCGATTTTAAAAGTTTTAAATCTTGTTTTTCTTCAATGGAACACCCTATATATTTTTGAATAATTGGATAGAATAAGTAATTACCTTTCATTTTATATATATATGTCCTATACCTAAACCTAACAGAAAAAAAAATATTCGCATTTTTCACAATTAGTAGCTTTTTTCCAATTACCTTAGTTAAATTTTCATTATTCAAATAAATAAATTTCAATAACAACAAATAAAAATGCTTTTATATATAAATATATATTACTATACGCGCAAAGCTACTAATTTTGTAAAATGCGAATATTTTTTTTAGGTGATCCACGTAAGGTGACCCAGATACTTATCTCAGAAACTACTGGAGTCACAAAAAATTTGTAAGAAGTAAAAAATATTTTTAAAATATTATATTTTCATTTATACAGGGTGTTCGGTTTTCCTTGGGACGATACCAACTTTCTTATTTTCAATGGAACACCCTATATTTTTTTGCATTTTTGGATTCTACACACTCTTTTAGGTATACTTTGTAAATATTTTAATTAAGAAAATGTTAATAATTTTGGAGTAAAATGAGGATTTATTAAAATTTCTCTAAATGTAGACATTCGCTAAAAGTTAAAAATAACCAACTAAAAGTTATTATTTTTTATATTATGTAGCATTCATCTCTTTAATAATAAGTAAGCTATAAGTTAATTAATTTATTTTTTGGAAAATATTATACAGGGTGTTTTCTTTGAATAATGAAAATTTAACTAAGGTAATTGGAAAAAAGCTACTAATTGTGAAAAATGCGAATATTTTTTTTTCTGTTAGGTTTAGGTATAGGACATATATATATAAAATGAAAGGTAATTACTTATTCTATCCAATTATGCAAAAATATATAGGGTGTTCCATTGAATAAAAACAAGATTTTAAACTTTTAAAATCGCTATTTTCAACGGGACATAGAAAACACCCTGTATGATATTTTCCAAAAAATATAATAATTAACTTATAGCTTACTTATTATTAAAGAGATGGATACTACATAATATAAAAAATAATAACTTTTAGTTGGTTATTTTTAACTTTTAGCGAGTGTCTACATTTAGAGAAATTTTAATAAATCTTAATTTTACTCAAAAAGTATTAACATTTTCTTATTTAATATATTTACAAAGTATACCTAAAAGAGTGGGAAGAATCCAAAAATGCAAAAAAATACAGGGTGTTCCATTGAAAATAAGAAAGTTGGTATCGTCCCAAGGAAAACCGAACACCCTGTATAAATGAAAATATAATATTTTAAAAATATTTTTTACTTCGTGAATATTTGTTCCTTACAAATTTTTTGTGACTCCAGTAGTTTCTGAGATAAGTATATGGGTCACCTTACGTGGACCACCCTGTACATTTAGAAAACCATTTTGACAGACATTCCACCAAATTATTTAAAGAGTGGTGTTTTTCTATAAAAAATGTACAAGGAGTATTTTTTATACACGATTTTCGTATTTTTATGTGTAGAGAAAGTAAAGTTGGGAATGTACGAACGATAAACATTAGGCCATATGGAGATTTCAATTTATATATGTATTTAATAATCAATAATAAACCTTTTAAAATACAACCTGCTCAAAACCTTAAGTTTGAGGAAAATATTAATAATTGCAATGTTCAATTTATTTTAACTAAAACTAATTTAACTTTAACATAACAAAATTATTATATTTTATTTTATGTTATATAATATATTATTTATTTATACCTTTGTAACTAATTATATTGCTAAACTAAATAAAGATTTTACATTGATTTCTATATATTTGAAAATGATGGATTCGGATATTTTTTTAAGTCTTCGTGTTTTAATGTAGTTTTTGAAAAAAAAAGTTTTGCTTGTGTTTTGGACGATTGAAAAAAAATCGTCTAATTTTGGAAAATTTCAAAATCTCAAAATAAATTTGCCAAAAAAAATATAAATAACACTAGTTTACAAGAATTTCCTCATTGAACCAAAACTACTTTTTCTAAGGTAAAATTTTGTGCTGATTCAGAAAATCATAGTGGTTTTTCTGGTTTAGCTCTAGATTTCAAGATTCGCATGAAATTTTGAAAAAATGCAATGTTACAGAACATTTCAGCTAAAATTGTTATTTAATATTAACATAATCCCAAATGTTTATAGCTATAAGAAGGAAAGTGTAATACAAATTTTAAGGTGTAAAACTTACATTAGTGGTTTGGTCGTTAGGACCAAAACAGGTAAAAAATCGTTTTTTCTGAATTAAAAAAAAAATCAACTTTGGTCCAATGTAAATAAAAAAACAATTTGAAATATAAAAAGTTGGCCCCTATATTCTAGAGAATTTTAATAAATAAATAACAAAAAACTAAAAAAAAAAACGGTTTTGATAAATCTAAAAAAATTGTAATATTATAAATGATAACATTTTTCATTGCTTCAAAAAATGTACATTACATAATCTAAATCTCATTATATATTGACGTACGTATGCTTAAAATTTTCATAATTAAATTCTCTAGAATATAGGGGGACTAACTTTTTATATTTCAAAATATTTTTTGATATACAGTGGACCAAAGTTAAAAAAATTGAAAAAAAAATCGGAAAATAATGTTTTCTTCTGACGTACTTTTCGTCATAGTGACAAAGCCACTAATGCGATTTAGGAGCTTTACGTTTTAAAAATTTGTATTAAACTGCAGTCCTTACAGCTATAAATATTTGGGATTGATTTGATATCAAATAAAATTTTAGCTGCATATTTGTGATTGAATATTCTGTAACAGTGCATTTTTGCGAGATTTCATGCATAACCCGAAATCTAGAGCTAAACCAGAAAAACTACTATTATTTTTGGAATCAGTACAAAATTTTACCTTATTAAAAGTTTGGGTTAAATGAGGAACAACTTTATCAAATTTTGTAAACTAGTGTAATTTAGGAAAGTATTATTGAATATGCAGGAAAAAAACTTTGTCACTAAATAAATTACAATTTTTTATTTGCCTTTTTAATTAAAATACAGTAGTTGTACAAATGTGTTCCGGGGCGGAAAATAAAAAAATATATATTTTTTTACTATTTAGCTTAAATCAGAAAAGTATTTTTATTTAAAATCATCTTATTTTTGTGTTAATTAACCTTTTTAGTGTAAAATATTAAACAAGTTAAAAATTAATTTGTTCAGCAACAGGATGAATTTTGGTAACAAACCAATTAATAGCTAGAAAACGAGTGTTTTAACTTTTCCACTATATTTTTCTAAAGGTTTTTAAAACAATTTTAATTATTTAAAAAAGATGTAATGAAGCAATTATGTTGAATATGCAAATTGAAATCGAAAAAACTTTTGTAATTTTTTTAACTTGGACGCAATTTTTGATGCTTTATTTGTAATTGGTAATAAACAGTGCGCACCTTTTTTATTTGAAGCACTAAAAAGTCGGTTTAACCGACTCGGTTAAATAGGAGAAAATTTGCGGAATTAGGTACTAGTACTTGTACTAGTCTATTAAAATGGCATTTAAAAATTAGAAAAAACTACACCGTTTTTTGTTTTCACTATGGCCGCCATATTGGAATTTTACGGTGTTAGATAGAAAAAAATAAAAAAATCCAACGTATCAACCTACATAAATTATGGTGGCCATAAAAACACAAGATGGTGAGGGTAACTTAAAATATAGTAGCAAAGAAATCGGATGAAAATGTAGATCAATTAACTTTTTAGCCCCATCTGTCTCTAAAAAATACATATATACATCGATGTAGACTGGGTTGCCTATCTATCTATAAAAGTAAAACAACAATATAGCGCTATATCGTTTTACTGGGCATGTGATTGGCTCTATCTATAAAAGTGAAACAACAAGATAGCGCTATATCGTTTTACTGGGCATGTGATTGGCTCACATAAGAAACGTATTCCCTTAAGTTGAGCCGGACCCAACTTTTGGATACGTTAAGTTACGTGTGATAAGTTTTCTACGAATGTAAACAGCTGCATTGGTTTCAATGTAGGTATTTCAAATTACGTCTATCACGTACGTTAAGTTAAGTTAAGTTACGCGTATTAAGTGGATGTGAATGAGCTTTTAAAGCGCCCATTATCGTACATGTTTCCATGAAACTAAGTGACCTTTTAAATACACTTTGACAAGTTGTATCTTTATTGCGCTTTAGTCACGGACTGAAGTTAGCAACATTTTTTTAGTCACGGGCTGAAGTTAGTTTTAAGTTAGTTGACAGATGTCAAATGTCATACAATCGTTAAAATAAAGTGCCTTTCTTGTAAAATATTACTAAATGTGAAAATTATTTTATTATTTCAATACAAAAATACAAAAGTATTAAATAGTTTCTCAACGCTAATATTTGAAAAGTTTATATGAACATTGTACTGACCTATTACCAGTAAACTATAACTTAAATTCGGGCACGGACTCCACTGTAAAGTGCTCATAAAACAATTTCTTTACTTTCACTGTGAAAAACTGTCAATTTTTAAACAATACATTTCGATTTATAACCTTTATAATCTATGTTTATAAAATCTAAAAATTTGACATTTGACGGTGACACACAGATTCCCCTATTGTTTCATGGCGCTCTATGAAAATGTTTGATTTAAATCATTTTAAGATAATAATAAGTATTTGTCGTAGAAAAAATATAGTATGCACCTGGAGGTTTATAAACTTTTCTATACACTCAATAATTTAAGCACTCCCTCGCAAGCTTGCTCGTGCCTAAATTAAATTCGTGTATAAAATGGCGTTTATCAAATTTGATACATAATATACTATTATTTGCTTCTGTCATAAAATTTAATGTTTTTATAGTATATTATGTATTAAGTTTGATAAACGCCATTTTATACACGAATTTAATTTAGGCACGAGCGAACTTGCTAGCGAGTTCTTAAATTAATGAGTGTATAGTTTATAAACGAGGTGCATACTATACTTTCTCTACGACAAATACTTATTATTATCTTAAAATGATTTAAATCAAAAATTTGTATAGAGCGCCATCTATGAAACAACAGGGGAAACTGTCAAATGTCACATTTTTACATTTTATAAACACAGTTATAAAAGTTATAAATCGAAATGTATATTGAAAATTGACAGTTTTTCACAGTGAAAGTAAAGGAAATGTTTTATGAGGACTTTACAGTAGAGTCCGTGCCCGAATTTAAGTTATAGTTTACTGCCGGCGAAATTAAAAGGTCAGTACAATGTTCATATAAACTTTTCAAATATTGGCGTTGAGACACTATTTAATATTTTTGTATTGAGATAAAATAATTTTCACATTTAGTATTATTTTACAAGAAAGGCATTTTATTTTAACGATTGTATGACATTTGACAACTGTCAACTAACTTAAAACTAACTTCAGCCCGTGACTAAAAACCTGTTGCTAACTTCAGCCTGTGACTAAAGCGCCGTAAAGCCACAACTTGTCAATGTGTATTTAAAAGGTCACTTAGTGTCATTGAAACATGTACGATAAAGGGCGTTTTAAAGGTGGGAGTAGAAAAAATAATTTAATGTTTATTTAACTATGAGTTCCTTTTTATGTTATTACAACTAAACTAAACAATTTATTAGACAGTAGCGTTGTTAAAAATTGCTTGAAAAAGTAGGAAAAAAATTAATTACAATCTTAATTAAATTTAAAACCAAAATTAAATTACTTACCTTATATTTAGAAACTGACAAACTTCATTCCAAAATAAGTATTTTATGTCATATATTTTTATTAGTTATGTTTTTTAGGGTTATCCACAATCCACACAAGAAAGTCTGTTCTATCTCGTTTCACGCTTACTAAAAATCACTGCAACACTGCACAGAGTTTAACCTCGTCCATATTGTTGTTTACAATTCCTGTGCTTTGGGTTTGTGCTCTATACACTGTATAGTATACAGATTAATTACTGTATAGTATACAGATTAATTACTCCTCTTTTGTAAAAAATTCTATCAGGGCTATCATCTAACTGTCAAATGTCAATTTTAAGGTTAAATTGTGGGTTATGGTAAATTAATCTTAAAATTGATATTTGACAGTTTGATAACAGCCCTGATAGAACAAGGTTAATTTTTTACAAAATATGAGTAAAATGGTTGCCCTTAGCACTGTAAGGTCTCTTTTAAGGCTTACAAGTGCCTCTGTAAGAAACACAACGTTTAAAACGATTATTAATCTGTATAAACAGCACAAATCCAAAGCAGAAGAATTGTAAACAACAAAAATGGCCGCTGTTAAACTCTGTGCAGTGTTACAGTGATTTTTAGTATTTTAAGCACGAGATAGAACAGACCTTGTTGTGTGGATTAAGGAATAAGGTTTATTTTTTATAAGAGGAGTAAAATGGTTGTCCTTAACACTTTAAGGCCTTATTTGAGGCTTACAAGTGCCTCTGTAAGAAACACAACGTTTAAAACGATTATTAAATAGCACAAACCCAAAGCACAAGAATTGTAAACAACAAAAATTGCCGCTATTAAACTCTGTGCAGTGTTGCAGTGATTTTTAGTATGCGCGACCTTTTTGTGTGGATTGTGGGATTATCTGTATAATTTAAAAAAATCAATTTAAAACAAAATATCGTTTTATTCATAAAACTAGTTGATGATAGTAAAGCAAAGTAATAATAAACCGAAATAGATAAAATTTACTTAACAAACAAAGCCGTAAATCCAACAGTTCCAAATATAAATACATGTTAACTAAGCTTTC